AGAGTTGAGTTTCAACTGCGTGATCAGGTTGTAAAATTGTGCATGGGCTTAAGGTTTCACAGAACACTGGAAGGTGCTGTTGCCTTTTGCTTCTTCTTGCAGATGACAGATTTTCCCAGTGGCAAGGAGACAAAGGGCAGCGCTAAAGTATTCTTAAAAGTAGAAAGAGCATTAAGAGGTCTCCTGCTCTGTTTCTTTGCCCACTGGCAGGATTGTATTCAAACCATTCCAGATAGAAACAGAACTGTTAGAATGTCCCTTAGGAATAATTTAATTCTCAAGAGGGTCCATGGAAAGTGTAATTTCAGGCCAACTCAGTCAAAAATAGTAGAGAACAACAAACATGGTTTTAAGCACTGAGGGCACAGCCATCAGCAAAGTAGTGATACACACCCTCCAAGAAACAAAACAGGGAGATAGACTGGCTTCGGAATGCCTGGAGGTTGACATAACTGGAGAGGGAATAGGTAGAGGAGGAATGGCTTTAGGCAAATGGTGATATTTATGAGCTCTGCGTGATTGTCCTTTAGAATCCACCTACAGACAATTGGGAACTAGGAAAGGTTTCTGAGATGGGTGACACATGGGGTAATTAAGAATTTCTTACCATAGCCGTTGTTAGGTGCTGAGGAGCTGGTCCCAACCCATACAACAGAGCAAAGCACTGCCCATCCTCACAACAGTTCTTCTGTGTCAGTTCATCTCTTCAGGGCCTTCCTCTTTTTCTCTGTCTCTCCACTTTACCAAGCACATTGTCCTTCTCCAGGGACTGGTCTCTCCTCATAGCACGCAAAGCACGTGAGACAACGTTTCTCCATTCTTGCCTCTAAGGAGCACTCTGGCTGTCCTTCCCATATAGACCCGTGTGTTCTTCTGGCAGTTCATGGCGATTTCACTATTCTTCGCCAACTCCTCTGTTCAGTTGTATTCATTCTTCCTTATTCAATGCCAAATTTTCACAGGCAGAAGAGGCAACCTAAAATACCATGCCTTGGGTCAGGCACACTCTAGTTCTCAAAGTAACACCCTTGCTTTTCAACACTTTACAGAGGTCTGTGCAGCAGATTTACCTAAC